TTGTCTACTGAAGACGCTTACGATGATGCAAAGGAACTCCTTGAGAAGAGATACGGTGATCCGTTTATTATCAGTAATGCATTCCGTGATAGACTCGATAATTGGCCGAAAGTACTGTCTAGAGACAATATTGCTCTAAGGAAATTTTCCGACTTTCTTAAACAGTGTTTGTCTGCGATGAAAACTATGGGAACATTGAACGCGCTAAACGACAATAGAGAAAATCGAAAACTTTTGTCAAAACTACCGGATTGGGTTGTAACACGATGGTCCAGAATCGTTGCGAAGCACAAAGAAGATAAGCGTGAATTTCCTTCATTTCAAACGTTTGTAGATTTTGTAGAAAAGGAAGCAATCATAGCAAACGACCCGGTAACGTCGATACAGTCGGTCAGATCAGAAACTACAAATAGCACTAGTGACAAGTTTAAGACAAATCGATTTCAGCGTGGTAAATATGATAATCAGCGTAGAAACGTTCTTGCGACAGAAACTTCACGAGTGCCTGATAAAAACCATAACAGTTACAACAAGGATCAAACATGTACATTCTGTAAGAAAACTGGTCATTTCATCAATTCATGTTATCAGTTTCTTGGGAAATCAGTGAACGAGCGAAAGAACTTTGCGAAAGAAAAGGGACTTTGTTTTGGTTGTCTTGGGTACGGACATACATCGAAGAAATGTCAAAAACGTAAAAAATGTGAGGTATGTTCAAGGTTTCATCCGACGTCTTTACATGGTGACTTTCAAAAACCGATCATTTCCGTAAACAAGGATAAACCGTTCGAAACTGGCACCGTGGAAAATTGTAAGTCACAGACCGGAGCCGTATTCATGAACAATACAAAAGCAAGTTGCAAAAGTTCTATGATTGTGCCAGTTTATGTGTCGCATTCAGACGATCCCGAGAATGAAAGACTCGTTTATGCTTTACTAGACACACAGTCGGACACTACTTTTGTTTTAGATGAAACACGCCGTGCGTTAGGACTCAGTGGAACAGATGTTAAACTCTCACTTTCTACAATGCATGCAGAAAATCATATAGTTGACAGTCGTAAAATAAAAGGTCTAATGGTTAGGGGATTTGACAGTGAAGTTAAAATACCGCTTCCAAACGTATTTACACGTGACATCATGCCAGCAAACCGATCTCATATTCCGACAGCTGAAATGACACGTCGATGGTCATATTTAGAACACCTTGCAGGAAAGTTGATGCCCGTCAGAGATTGTGAGTTTGGACTATTGATTGGTTACAATTGTCCTCGTGCACTTATTCCACGTGAGGTCATACCTTCAATTGATAACGGACCGTATGGACAAAAAACAGATTTAGGATGGGGAATTGTTGGTATTGTTGATCCCTTGCAAATAGACAACTGCGACTCGATAGGATTCAGTCACCGAACTCTAGCTCTCGAGGTTCCGAATGAGTTATCGATTAGAGGAAATAAAAGTGGAGATCTAGAACATGTTTACTTTTCGTTTGGTTCGAGCGTTAAGGAAATAATTCCAAGTGAAGTCGCCCGCATGATGGAACTTGACTTTTCAGATAGAAACATTGACAAGATTTCATTTTCTTTTGATGATAAAAGATTCATTTCTATTCTTAATGAAGGAATAAGTGTTGAAAATGGACATTATGTTATGCCACTGCCGTTTAAAGATAAAAACCCGCCTATTCTACCGAACAACAAGAATATTGCAGTAACACGTTTAAATCAATTGAAAGGACGTCTTCAGAGGGATAAAACATATCGTAATCATTATTTTACAAGCATGAATGACTTTATCGAAAAGGGATATGTAGAAAAGGTTGAATCGTCTGAACAGGATATCGATGGTCATGTATGGTATATACCTCATCATGGGGTATACCATCCCCAAAAACCTGACAAGGTGCGTGTTGTATTTGACTGTAGTGCTAGATATCAAGATCATTCTTTGAATGATCATTTGCTACAAGGACCTGACCTAACGAACACTCTTATTGGAGTACTGTGTAGATTTCGGAAAGAACAAATCGCCGTGATTTGTGATATTGAACAAATGTTTCTTCAGTTCAACGTTAATAAAGATCATAGAGACTATTTAAGATTTTTGTGGTGGAAAGACGACAATCTTCATGGAGATCCTATAGAATATCGTATGAACGTACACTTATTTGGAGCCGCTTCATCTCCGGGTTGTGCCAACTTTGGTCTGAAAAGAGTTGCTGACGATTACGAAGATGAGTTTGGATCAGATATTTCAGACTTTTTGCGAAATGATTTTTACGTAGATGACGGTTTGAAGTCTGTTGCTTCCGTCGATGACGCCGTTAGCTTAGTCAAACGAAGTCAGGATATGTGTAACAAAGGAGGTTTAAGATTGCACAAGTTTCAGTCAAACTCAAAAGACGTTTTGAATCAAATACTGATCGAAGATAGAGCAAAGGATCTAAAGAACTTAGATTTATTAAATGACAAACTGCCGATTACAAAGGCTCTAGGCATACAGTGGTGTATCGAATCCGATTCTTTTCAATTTCGCATTGAACTTACGAATAAACCACTCACGAGACGAGGAATACTTTCAACGTTAAGTTCCGTGTATGATCCCTTGGGATTTCTTTCTCCTTTCGTACTTCTTGGAAAACAGATTCTACAAGAATGTTGTAGCGATCAAATTGATTGGGACGAACCGCCTTCTGAAACTTTGATACAAAGATGGCAACAGTGGCGAAATGACATCCAGAATCTAGCGCAGCTAGGCATTCAGAGATGTGTAAAACCGAAAGACTTTGGAAATATAACAGTATGCGAACTTCATCATTTTTCTGATGCTAGCACTTTAGGTTATGGACAATGCTCGTACCTCCGATTAATTGATGAAAATGAACTTATTCATTGTACACTTCTAATGGGAAAAGCCAGAGTTACTCCACGTCGTTCATTAACAATTCCTCGTTTGGAATTGTCAGCCGCTCTAGTATCAGTCAGAATAAGTCAACTACTGAAACAAGAACTTCGATACGAGAACGTTACTGAGTGGTTTTGGACTGATAGCAATATCGTTCTCGGTTATATTGCGAACGACAACCGAAGATTTCATGTATTTGTAGCAAATCGAGTGCAACAGATTAGAGAACACTCTAGTCCAACACAGTGGAAATATGTAGACACGAAGGAAAACCCTGCAGATGTAGCCTCACGAGGGGCAAGCGCAAATGATTTGGTGACGAACTCGAATTGGTTTACCGGACCGAAATTTTTATGGACACTTCAATCATTCGACGCAGATGCGAATAAACCCGATTTGACACTTAATGACCCCGAAATACGGATGGTGAAAGCATTTTCTACTAAGATGGATGTTATTGAATTTGCGTCTCTGATTGAACGCTTGGAATATTTTTCTAATTGGAATCACGCAAAGCGAGCCGTTAGCATTTGCTTAAAACTAAAGGACACACTTCGATCACAGAATAAGAGTAAAAACAATTCACCCGAGAGTAAATTGTGCGTAAACGACATGCAACGTGCAGAGATTGAAATTATCAAACAATTGCAAGCATCGTCATTTAACGAAGAAATAGTTGTTTTACAATCGATTGGTGTAGGTAAAACCTATGAAGATAGACATTCAACCCGAATTCGAAATGTTAAATTGAAACAAACGTCATCATTATACAAGTTAGACCCGTTTCTAGATTCGGATGGAATTATTAGAGTTGGTGGTCGTATTCGACGAGCCGAGTATAACTTAGCAGTTAAACATCCAGTGATCATTCCAAGACATTCACACGTAACAGAACTAATCATACGACATTTCCACGAGAAAGCCGAACACCAAGGAAGAGGCATGAAACATTTGAAATACGTGCGAACGGATTTTGGATAATTGGTTGTAGTACTGCCGTTTCTAAATATCTATCAACATGCGTTACTTGTAGAAAACATAGAAGTAATACTCAAGAACAAAAAATGGCTGACTTACCGATTGACAGACTTCATCCGGTACCGCCTTTCACTTATAGCGGAGTTGATTTGTTTGGACCGTGGTACATTAAAGAAGGACGTAAAGAACTTAAACGCTATGGTGTCTTGTTTACGTGTCTATCATGCCGAGGAGTACATATAGAGACAGCAAATTCTCTTGATACCAGTTCATTCATAAACGCGTTGCGTAGATTTATAGCCATACGTGGCCCTGTAAGACATCTAAGATCAGATAGAGGAAGCAATTTTGTAGGTGCGGAACGAGAATTGCGGGAAGCTTATTCAGAAATGGACGATAAAAGTATAAGACAATTTCTTTCGAATGAAGGGTGTGATTTTGTAGAGTTCAAAATGAATGTCCCATCTGATAGTCATATGGGTGGAGTTTGGGAACGCCAAATCCGGTAAGTTAGAAATGTTCTTGCGTCACTAATGCATCAATCTGGTACACAATTGGACGATGAATCTTTGAGAACTTTTATGTGCAAAGCCGCAGCAATTGTGAACAGTCGTCCTTTAACTCTTGGCAATTTGAATGATCCCTTATCAGAGGAACCCCTAACGCCAAATCATATACTTACGATGAAGTCGAAGATTATTCTTCCTCCGCCTGGACAATTTCAAAGAAGTGATATTTACTCTCGAAAACGCTGGAGGCGAGTTCAGTTCTTAGCAAACGAGTTTTGGAATAGATGGAGAAAGGAGTATTTGTCTAATCTACAATCTAGAAAAAAGTGGACTGCTCCGAGACGAAATTTGAAAGTCGGCGATATAGTAATAATCAAAGATGAACAAGCCGCGCGAAATCAGTGGCATCTTGGGAAGATCAACACAGCACACGTAGATGAGGATGGGCTTGTTAGAAAAGTGCGGGTTACGATAGGTGCTCAAATTGACAATAATGGAAGGAGGAAGTCACCTCTTCAGGAATTAGATAGGCCGATTCAGAAATTAGTGTTAATATTAGAAGTAGGGGAAACCGAGGAAGTCCCCACCGAGGAGCTTGATGACATTTAGGATGCGATGTCCATAATGGTAGTATAGTGGATATAAGACTTTTTGATATTTTGAAAAATTAAACATTAATTTTGGGGAGCCATGTTACCGTCGTACATTGATTAAGAGTAAGATACATATTACGATTAGAAGCTAAGTAGTAAATCGGCGTTTCTTTCCGCGATACATCAGATTCCTGTAAACGAATCACGATGCTACACAAATTTTGACATGTTAATGGCCCAAAGAGGTAATTTGAACGTTATTAATGTAATAAATGTCTTTTAATATGCATAATTGATATATTCGCATAGTCATAATGATATTTGTAAGGTTATACTGCGATTTGTTTATATATCTGGTGTGCAACAGGGTTTTGCATTGAAAATTATTTATGGTTCTTTTTTGTTTACTTTCAGTTCTTACGTAAACCTGCGAAACAACGTATACTAGTCCATGAACTTTGTATAATGTTAGACAACTGGGTGAATTTATGCGATGCACTGTATGTTTATTTGACAATTGCGACATGAATAAAGTATCAGAACTTTCAGTGTATTATTTTGCGACGCCCACAGCTACAAACACAAAAGACACACGAACTAAACATAACGTCCAGTGCCAAATATTTTATGCATTATTTGAACGACATCATGTTAACAATAAATACTGTAGATAGATTCTATTATCATTCCGGGAATTAAGGATTGAGCCTAAATTTTTACGGTAATTCGGGATTAACACTAGTTGGGATTTTAATCTAAAATATTTAAGAGCGAGTAAAGACCGATTTTTGTATGACTTCAGTAAGAAACTACTTCAATCTCCGTTATGTTATAGAGTCCGTTTTAAATAAAAGTTGCGGAAATTTAAAAAAAAATCAGTGTTGCCTTCTAAAATACAAATGATGGCACCATGAAAGAGTGAAATGCTACAAAGGTTTTAATGCGCAGACAATGGGACATTCTCCCTACATGAGGTATTTGATTTAATATCTACAATTTAACTGAGCATGGCTGCTTACATTTACATCCAACATAGCCGAACGGACGCCCCAACTTTTACCCTGGTTATACTGCCGGTTTAAAAAGACCTTGAAAGTAATTTATTTCTATCTTTTTATGAAATAGTAAAATGAGTATACGTTAATGAAAAAGCAATAACCAAATAACCTACGTATTTATAATATGGACACGAATGATAGTTCCAGTAAAAGAAAAAAGAAAAAAAGCTTGATATGGACACGTTTAGGGGATTGGACACGTTTGGGCGTTTATACAATTGACACACTTTGGCGCCCTTTTACAACTATACATGTTTTGCAGTTCAGTGACGTCATGTGGACACGTTTGGGGGAATCGGACACGTTTGGGGGGAAGGACACGTTTCTGAGTGTTACATACATACTGAAGTTGTCATTATTGAGAGCCAATATATCATCCAAATATCTAAAAGTATTGTTAAATTTTTGTATCAGATGTTGTTTCGATGGGTCTTTGCTGATTTTAGTCATAAATTGTAACTCATAACAATACAAAAACAGGTCCGCAATAAGTGGTGCTTAGTTAGTCCCCATTGGAATTCCGATAACTTGACGATATACGGAATCTCCAAAGCGAACAAAAATGTTATCAAGTAAAAATTCAAGGGCAGATATAGTATCAAAACATGTCCAATTGACATAGCTCTTTTGTTTGTTGCTACTAAAAAATGACCTAAAAGAGTTTGAACATATGTATTCGCATTCCGACTTTTTAAATGCCCATTTAATTAGGTGTGTGAATTTTTTCTTAATAAGAATATGAGGCAAAGTGGTATATAGTGTAGAAAAATCAAAACTTTGAACAGATTCAAAATCACCAATATATGCATGCAATTTATCAAGTACTTCCAACGAGTTTTTGACACTCCAAAAGTAGTTAATTTCACTATTTTCAAAGGCCTTATTTGAACAATTTATTATCAGGTTTTTGATTGTACCAAGTGTACTAGTAAGTAGAATAGACAATTTAGTAGTGGAACAATGACTTGAAGACGAAATAAATCTATATTTGTAAGGTGATTTGTGTAGCTTCGGAAGCCAGTACATAGTTGGGACTTTCATTGTATTTGGTTCTGCTTGTGAAGAAGTAGCTAATAGTTTATGTTTATTACAGATATCGTTTTCTGAAAATGAAGTCAGTTGGAATGTTGGTGAATTCGTGATTTCCTTTTGCAGAACCTCAATGTAAAATTTACGTCAAACTATAATGATATTATTAGCAGCTTTATCAGCCGGGACAAAAACAAATTCCTTGGCTAGTTCTTTTAGTTTATGTTTGATACGAGAGATAGGATTTTTATGGTTGTTGTGAAGAGTAAAATGTTCTTTAAAATGTTGTATACGTATATCAACTATCTTCATTACTGAATTAAAAAAAGAGTCCAAAGATTTTTTGTCAGCTTTTTCCCGTTTTATCCATTTCAAACAGTAAGCACGAAGTGAGTCGTGGATGATATTACGACACTCATTCCAATTAATAATTGACGGGGGACGATATTTAGGTCCTTTACTGAGGAATGATTTTAACTCTCGGTCGCGAACGATGTTAAGGTCTCCTGTTATAACATGGGAAATGGGGCCATAAGTGTATTCGGAATTACTACAATTACATGACGGAGGTGTATTTTCACTGATATTTACATCTTTACAGACTTGGCTATAATTAAACACAAATTTTCGAGTAGATTTCTTGTAAATATAACAAATAAGAGGGAGTTCAGTATTATCAAAATATCCAGGAATTTGTTCTTTAACAGAATGGTCGTTAAAAATACCGGCAATATTTACAAAATCAAAACCTTTATTGACATACTTTATTTTAATAAAATATTTTTTTATGATCTTCAGGGCGATCAATTTTGGGAAACAGTTTAGAATAACAATATGCCATTATAATTTGAACGATTTCATACTTAGGACTGCAATATGAAATTGTGTTGCAATCCTCTAAAATTTTATTTAATTTGTTTATAGGTAAAGAACAGAGCTTGGTTAATAGATAATGTCTGCCGTTGTTTTTTGAAATAAAAATTAGGTCCGAAATATTTGTATGGTTGGTCCTAAATTTTCTTTGATTGCGATTTTTTCTACGCCCATGAGAACGGTTTTTACGAACAGTTTTAGAAACTATATCCAAAATGTTAACAGAATCGGTTCTTGATATATTACCAATTTCCATGATATTATCATTAAGACCGAGAGGGTAGACTGTCTGTAATTTTTTAATCCAATTTAATTCAATTATTTTCCGCGATCGTACAAACTTTGAATGAGATTCACCAGGCTGCTTATTTACTACTTCTAAAGGTTGAACTGTTAAATATTTAATAGGATGATTGTGCTTTTTAAGATGTTGATAAATGATACTTTTGAATTTATTGGGTCTTTTAAAACGATACAGGTGTTCTTGCGTGCGTTTAGATAAATATCGTCCAGTTTCACCTACGTACTGAATACCGCATCCCTGTTTGCTTCATGTGAGTAAATAAATAATACTGTTTGTTTTTCAAGTTATATCAGTTTCAAAATTTAAAGAAAATGTGCGACCATTAAACGTAGACCTTACCGTATTGTTGGTGGAAAGACGGGGACATGTAAGTAATTTTTTGCCATGACACTTATCAATAGAAGGGTAACCACGATTTTTATTGTTAAAAATGTTAGCGATGGTAGTATTTTTAGATAAGCGATTTTGAAGAAAAGTATATTATAATGATTGTGTGGCGTTCTCAAACTAGACGTTATGAAGCGTACATGTTTTTTTTATATAATCAAGAACAGCTGGGATGTAAAATAGTTATCCCATTCGTACTTGATGTGTCAGTGTATGATCACCCTCCGGCCTCCGGCCGTCGGGGTGATCTTTCACTGACACACCGCGTCCTCATGGGATAACTATTACAGAATTATTTACTTATAATCTGACAATTGTTTACCATACAGCTGTGTACTATACTTTAGCAGATGTTTACCATATAGCTGTTATCTTGTACTTAGCAAATGTTTACCACAGGATTATTTACTTATAATTTGACATTATTTGTTTACCACACATTTATTTACTGATAAGTTTTTTTTTCATTTGTGTACCATAGAGTAATTGACTGATTTGTTTAACATGTTTTAACCACAAAGCTATTTATTTTTCATTCTAAATTGCAGAATAAAAATATTTGTTGAAATAAAATGTATTGATTTTGAACAATGCTTTACCAAGTCAGGAATATGACAATTGTTTTCCATTCGTTTGATGTGTTTGAACATTTGCCATTTGATAAGGGACTTTCCGTTTTGAATTTTCATTGGGGTTCGGTATTTTTGTTATTTCACTTTTATTAATGAATTTAGTATGTTTTGACTAACTTAAAGATAATGTTTTGTTTTCCCAGTTATGTAAAATTGAGAATGGAAATGGGGAATAGGTCAAAGAGACAACAACCCGACCAAAGAGCAGACAACAGCCGAATGTACTTTTCTGAACAAAAAATCATATTTCTTTTACACTGCTAGTAGTGAAAATATTTACTAGACATTGGTTGACCCTTTTTAATTTCTTTATAAAAGTGAATCCGTGTACCTATAAGGGAATCCCTGTTGCAACCTGCACAGAATACCTGCTATCCTGTGAAGTATTGTGTGCTAGGACATAATATATTGTTAGTATAATAGTCCCAGGTCCTGATTATTCAAGTGTTGTTACAATAAAACACTTTCGAGTTCGTTGCATTTCCATCAACAATATAAAAATAAGGAGATGTGGTATGATTGCCAATGAGACAACTATCCACCAATTTGAAAGTTCAAATGAAGTGGATGTAAGCAATTATAGGCAACCGTACGGCCTTCAAAAATGAGAAAAACCCATACCGTATTGACATGAAAAATATGAAACAATTCAATGGAGAAAACTAACGGCCTAATTTATAACAAAACAGTTTCGGAAAAACAAATCTGACAGACATGAACCAACGACAACCACTGAACTACAGGCTCCTGACTTGGGATAGGCACATAAAGAATGTGGCGGGGTTAAACATGTTTGTGAGTGTTCAACCCTCCCCCTTACCTGGGACAGTTGTGTAACAGTGCAACATAAGAACAAAATATAAAAATCAGTTGAAAAAGACTTAACTCATCAGATGGATACAAATAGAAATACATCTAACAAAAACACAAAGTGGACGTGGACAGGTACTTATACAACCCAAAAAAAAACAAAAAAACACTAAGTACAGATCTGAGAGTACTCGCAGTTACTGACAGATAGTTAAAAGTCAATAACAACTAATGAAAAAAATCATGTATTTAAGACTAAAATATCAATCAGTACACCAATACACAGTCCAACATACATTGGTTTTAGTGTAAAGACGTCGTTAACAGTCAGTGAAAAACATGACCTTGTGCAATGCCAAACTATAATTATCGACATATTGTAGTACCGTGAAAGTACATATGTGTAATATTTAGTATGGTTTTAATTTACTGATAACAAAATCAATATTTACACC